TATTTCCTGTGAAATTATTTCCTGAAATATTCAAGTTTATCAATGACAATGAAGTGAAGAAACTACTTGGAATGGGTCCAGTAAGTTCATTTGAGCTGAGATCAACTATAGCTAGTCTTGGATAGGTCCCAAATTCAATAGGTAGGTCACCTCTTAAAGAATTATTCATGATCTTAATAGAAGACAATCTCTGAAATTGATAAGTAAGGATTGGAAAGGTTCCAGACAATGCATTTGAACTCAAATCAATGATCTCTAAAGTATCACCCCAGCTTTGCATAATAGATATATCACCAGAGAGACCATTTTTGCTAAAATCCACCATCACACATTTTCCAAGAGTAGAAGGCAACGGGCCTGAGAGCATATTTGATGAAAGATTTAAAAACTTCAGAGTAGTCGAATTAATTCTGTGAATCAAACCTGCAAAAATGAAATTTTCAGAAATCAAAAGCTTCAAATCCAACATCAAATAAAAAAAACCACCAAAGAAAAATATTTATTAAGCAAGCATATGGAACCATAAAATATCTTGCGGTTCTACATTCTATTTAAACAACATTTTGCAAGAAACAAGGCCATGCTATTAAAAGGCAGCTATAGAATCTTGAATCCCAAGGTTGAGGCCAAACATATATATCAGATTTTACAAGCAATACATAATAAATGCAGAAGAAAAACAAACAACATATTGTTTTTTTTTTAATAAATAAAACAATAGATTGTTTCCAATGAAAGGAATATAGTTCAGGAATCCCACAGTGCTGAAGATCTCACTCTCTTCTCCTCACCAACTTCATCCATACGCAGCTTCTCTTTCACCAGAACTACCATAATTACTCAGTAGCTTTTAATCAGAATAATTCCTTGCTGCCTCTTTGCATTAACATATGACACCTAAACCTTTTGAAAACAAATATTTTTCGAAACTATCTCTACTAGCCTTGCTCCTCTTTGCATTAAATCCCATTTTCTCTTATTAAATCCATTATCTTTAAGTTATTTTTTACTAATAAATGCTACTAATTAGATTTATGTCAATATTTTTGACAGCATAAATCCATATATTTTAAAATTGACTCAAAAACAAAACCATTCTTTATCCAAGTGGTGGTTAAGCAATTGAACCATCCGAATTAAATTGATCAATCTACGAAGTCATAGTTAGGTAATATAATTTTTAAAATAGAAATAAATATAGAAAATCACAAAAAATGTAGAAAAAAGTAGACACATTTATGTAATCAAATTAAAAAATAAGCGTAATAAACAACAGTTATTTTTATTGATAATGAAAATGAAACACATAATTTAGAACTAGCCAAAAATAAAATATAAAAATTAACAATAAATAGTTCAACTTTTGGGTTAAATGTATTAAACTTTAACGCCATAAATAAATAATAAAATATAAAAATACAAAAACAAAAAAAATGCATACATCTTGCAAAAAAAAAGCATTTAGACACATGTATAATATCATATATTTATCTTATTAAACAAAAAATAAGTGTAAAATTTCAGAATTAGTTTTACACACAAAAGTACAAAAAAACTATAGTAAAAATTGAGCACATCTACAATTCTACATTTGCACTACTATTAAAAATATGAATAAGATTGTGAAATTTTCTTTTGACTAAAATACTCATTTTTGAATTTAGTCCCTATTTAATTGTGAGGTTTAAATTATAAATTGAACTACTACTTTTTACCACATTCAATTCACTCTATTTAAATCTTACATTTTTTTTTTTGATAAATGAACAAAAAAAAAAAAAGATACACCAAAAAAAATAATACATTACAAAATGATGAATCTAGCCAAACAATAGAGGTGCAAATGGATCAGATCATGATCCAATCCGATCCTTTTTGTCGAATTCGGATATCCCCAATTCAGATCTTCGAATCGGATTGGGTTGGATAATAGGATCTGATCAGGAACTGAATCAAATTCGGATCACTCCCTATCCAATCCTATATATATATATATTATTTATATTGCATTTTTGTAAATTTGTTATATTTTTTATAAAAAATGTATATATATGATGAAAATAGGTGAAAAGATACTTGTATTTTTTTGTTTTTCTTTATTTAAATTGTTATATTTTAGTTTTCTTTTAATATTTTATTATTTTTTTTAAATTAAATTGGAACGGATCAGATCCAAATATCTAACTTCCTCATCGGATTAATATTCAAATCCGTGTTTATGAGAAATGAGATGCAATTAGATCTTCTGTTAATAATATTGGATCATATTCGGATATACCCTAAATCAAATTCAATCCAATCGGTTTGCATCCCTACCAAGCAGATAGGCTTGTCAATGATACCTAAAACTTCACAACTCAATCCAATTATCTCATATTTGGATGATGTGTTTATATAATCAGATTTAGATTTTGAAATCTACATCCAATTAATAATAAAAAATATAAAATGTAAAAACAAAAAATACATAAAATTTAATAGAAAATTTTGGATATATTATTACTATCATTATCATCATCTAGAATTGCCATGTGCAAAGCACATGCATGCTACTAGTGTGTATATATATAGTTAATTTAGTTCATTCAAGCTTCAAATGAAAACACCTGACTTCACCATCTCATTACTGGCTTCAAATTCTTCTTCCCCATCTAACTCCACTTTCATTTTGACCATCTCCTATTTTGAAATGCATTAAACTAGCATTTTACACCCCTGGTAAATGCCACCGATGACCATTACACGATATCAGACCATCTCAACCAACTACCCTCTATTTCAAGACAATAAAGGGCTATCACTACATTCCTTTAAACGCAGAGAAAAATAGATGTGGAAATATCAGTAATTTTCTATCAAATACAATGGATTACTATATGGTAGAATTGCCCAAAGCACCTTAGCAGATATCTTAAAATAAATCTTTCAAGAGGATAACGGAGTGCTACTTTGCAGTTTGCAATGTAATAGAAGAGGAATATTCTTCCCTACATAAATAATTACCCAGGAATATTTAGTTGGTTCCATATTCTCCATCATCGTTGTGTCAAGTCCAAATAATGAACCAAACGTGCCAACATGAGTTCCAGCATAAAACAGAACATAGTATTGTTTTTCAAGGTAAATATTGAAATCTACAAAATCCTAGGTTGTCAACATTTTCACTGTCCACTGGGTTCAACATGAAAGATTAGACACTGGAACAAAGTGGGGTTCTTCTACTCTCATTATTTTTTCCTTTTAGGTATTTGCTATAGTTAACAGTATACACTTTTTTCCACTCCACTTCCTTCAAATTGTAGAGAATACGACTTTTCCCTCCAATAAGAGCTAGCTTGCTTTGGTAATTAAGTTACTTGGCCTATCATCACCATCAAAAACACCTTCAGCATATATATACCAAACCACGTTGTTTATGTGGTCCCCATTTCCTTTCTGATATGTTTACAACATTCCACTGGTTAAAAGTTCATAATATTTCCACAGTAAATGCCATGATGAAGCCCCAGATAATCCACTCCCAGATACCAGTAAATAAAGTATCAAGAAAAAACAAAAAACAGAATGCTAGAGCCACTGTAAAACGTATCGTAAGGCCAGAAAAGCTGACCATTCAATCTCATAAATTTGTCAGAGAAGATGCGTAGTTCATTATAATTAATTTTCTTTTCAAAAGTAATAATAAAATTTTCAATTATTGGTACATTATGTGTTTCTTTAAATCAAGAAAACCCACTTCTCTGTGTTGTATGCAACTTTCAGCCCATTGTATTCTTGTACTCCTATAGATAATTTTCTTTGTTTCATTATAGCTAGATTTGCCCACTTATACTCCAAATCATTTTGTTTTCTATTTACATACAATATACGATAATAGTCCAAAAAACCAGAAAGATATCTAATATGGAGAGACCCAATAGAACAAAACAATGCTTGATTTTTTTGAAAGGCTACAAGAAGATGCTACTACTAAATAAATAAGTTTATGCACGCAAGAGTACAAATTATACTTTTTCCTCATTTTCCTGCAAATACTTTACCTGAAAAGCCATTGACGCTGAGATCCAGTTCTTCCAACGGAATCACACTTTCAAATAGCTCCCCCGGTATAGATCCATATAAATGATTGTCTCCAAGCCGTAAAACTCGAAGATAAGATAAAGAGACAAATGAAGGGAGCTCTCCACTGAGATGATTGTTACCCAGGTCCAAGACTTCCAAGTTCCTAAAAGATTTGATTGTATCATCCAAAAGGAATTTCCCACTCAACCTATTGTGGCTCAAATTCACATAACGTGCGGTAGTCGCCAAGCTCGAAATGTTATCCGCACTCAACGGGAGCTCCCCATAGAACATATTATAGCTCAAATCAACGTGTTCGATATTCCTCAGCTCAGACAACAGATCCCCAATATCCGCCCAAAGCCCATTGGAATGCAAATCCAAGACCCTCAGCTGTTGAAGGTTTCTAATTCCGCTAGGGAACCCTCCTGTGAAATTATTCGACGAGAGATTCAAATAATTCAAAGTCCAAATTTCATTAATCCTAGCTGGGATTGGCCCATAGAATAGATTCCTGGACAGATCCAAATGCTGCAAAGAAACCATAGCTCCCATTGCGGGCACAAGCCGGCCAGTGAAGAAATTCCCCGAAAGACTCAAATTTCTCAGCATTTTCAGTCCACTCAAGGTGGAGAACTTCAAATCGCCACTCAAGTTCAATCCGTCAAGAGCAATACCAGCGACGGAGCCTGACTCGTCGCACGCAATCCCGTGCCAGTCCCGAGGGCAGCCGTTGGATGCCACTGAAGATCGGTCCCATGATTCGAGTACATAGTGTGGATCGTCTCGGATCCCTTTCTTGAATTCGAGTAGAGAACGAACTTCATCTTCTGAGGAAGCTAAAACACCAGAGAAAAATACCACAAAGAAGAAAATAAAGAAGCAATGCAAATGGAGATGAAGATACATTCCTCTCCAGATAGAAATCCTTAATTATTCCCTCATGGAGAGATTTCTCGAAACCCTAGAAGCACAAAATATCCTCAAACTAAAAATGGAGGGGGGAGCAGAAACAAGACTACACACGACACAAGTAGTGCGGGAGAAATGCTTACAATTAAAAATTACACGAAGAGAAAGTTTAGGGTTATTATATTGAAGTAAAACTCAGAACTCCAGTGCCAGAGAGAGAGAGAGGGAGAGAAGGAGAAGGGGAGAGAGAGAGAGGGAGAGGGCCGGAGTGGAGTGAGGGTGAAGTGTATGCCCGACTGCGCGTGTTTTTCAGAGAGAGAAGAGAGAGAGAGAAAGGAGAGAGAAGGGATGCGTAAATTCCGTTAAATTGGCAGGTTAGTCTGAGAATGTGCGCTGGTTGGTGCTGGTAACTACAGTCTACAGTCTGTAAAGAAAGAACCGCCCGGCCCACCAACCCACATGCTTCTGGCTTAACGGCATTAACGCCGTTATCTCTTCCTCCTTAGTAGACAGCACTGTAGATTGTAGCCGTCCGATTAGTGGAAATGGGCGGCTCATATTTTTGCTGGCTGTGGCTCCCGACTCCTACAGTAGACGGATCCGTAATTCCTCGTTGCCTCCTTAGGGGGTTGCAAAAACTTGCCACGTGTTACATGTATTGATAGATCGAGACAGTCATTGAGTGGGTCCCACTTATGAGAATATATGAGACCGACCATGTGCTCCTACTGCCAGTTGCCAGTACTTTGGGAGGATTAGGTAAAGAGGCCACCAAGATAATGGAAAATTAAAAAAAAAGAGTAAATTGTTGAAACTTGAAAGTTGAAACCCCCCATGAGGTTTTAGGTTATTGCTAAAATATCCTCTGAATTTTAGTAATTTCAATCACTGTTTTTGAACTTTATGATATAATTGCAAGTTGATCCCTTCGATTAGAATCTTATATTTAAAGGCATGAAAATTGAAAATATCTAAAATATTCCTGCAGTCATTTTGACCAAAATATTTATTTTTCAAGTTTTTTCTATATATGAATCACTATCCAAAATCATTTCAATCTCTTTCCTAAAATTAATTTATTGTTCAAATTTATCTTCGATGTCAATCACTTAAAAGTAAAGCTCAATTTTAAATTCATTTTTTATGTTTTAATAAATTGTGTTTTATTTTTTTCTCTAGAACCAGCCACTTGTATTGTGTAAGTATTTTGATCATTTTTATGTCTATTTTTAAAAGATTCTAATAGAGAGATCCACTTGCAACTGTAACAAAAAATTCAAGGGAGATCATTACAATTATCAAGTTTTAAAGGAATTTTTATCAACTTTTTAAAATTTTAGGGAGATTTTAGTAATTTACCCAAAAAATAAATAATGTACAAATCAGACGGTTGAAAACACATCCTCGTATTATGCGATGATTCTTGGTGTAGGATTTTGTCGTTTTGTGAAGCAACCAAAGTACCAAACAGTGCAGGAGTACTTGAAGTCATGCTTTTACACGTGAATAACACGTAGGAGATAATTATATGCCTTCTACACGTGGCATACATCCAAGAGTGAAGAGGATAGTACTTTTGATGGACGCGAAAATGATGGTTGAGATCTGGGGGCTCATAATCATCTACCACGTGGAAGATACTGAGATGATCAAGATACACCGAGTACCAGATAAAGAAATCAGAGTGATCAAATGAATTTAGACCTTCTGATTGGTGCATCATTTTTTATGGTGGGACTTGATTAACCCTAACATAAGACAGATGCCATATACCAAACCCAAAACCTTCGCCAAAAAGCAGTTAAAAAGTCTTTATTGTATTGCCAGCACCAAACCCTCGCTACTTTTTCCCATAGTGATCCCTGGGCAATGTCTGCCGACTAATGAAGTACAGTAGGCCCCTAATGGTTAATGTGTTCTTAATAAATATCTTCTCATATTGCTTCAAGCCTTCAACAAGGAAAGAAATGAGAGTATAGAGAGAGAGAGAGGTGGGAGGATGGCCAACGTGACTATCTCCTCTACCTTATTTTTTATGAATAAATTTTTGGCCCAAAATATTTTTGCCACGTAGGCAAATTAAGGTCACTTTTATGGAATTAAAAATTTTGAAGGGTTGATGTTTTATTTTATCTATATTTACACTTAGGCCTTGTTTGCTTTTCGGTAAGTTACTTACCCGGGTAAATGCAATTACCTGGGTAAGTTTTTCCAGGGAAACACTTACCCAGGTAAGTGCATTTACCCATGTTTTTTTTTTGTTTTTATTTCTTAGGTAAATAAGTCAATGACCATTTTAGTCATACAAATCCATTATTAAAAGGGGCAGTTTTATCCTATTCAAGTGTTGGCAACTTCCCCCTACGTGGTAAAGTTATTTACCCACTTAGGAGATGGACATCACTTTTCTAGGTAATAAACTTTCTATGGTCCCCACATAAAGCTGAAAAAAGAACATGAGATTCTTCGTCAATAGGAACCAAAATCCTATTGACCAATTTTCCCCCCTCTCCAAATCCAAAAAAAGAACGCCCCCCTTAATGAAAGCGTTGAAATTTTATTTCATTAAAATACCTTAATTTTTTTATATTGATTTCTCTCTAATTGTAAGGATAGAAATGCAATTTGAACAACTACTTTTTTTATTCTTAACTATTATTTAAAGTATTAACTCTTATTAAGATTCATTGAATCTTATTCTTAATTATAGTATACCAATTTTTGAATTTGGTTTTTAATTTTGATGGCACAGAATGTAATTTGAACTACTACATTGATCTTAGTCCAATTCTCTCCCATCAAGTCTTATATTTAGGGTATATTACTTTCCATTCATTGAATCTTATATTAATTAACCATATTAATTAAAGAAAAATAAGTGTAAAAATGAATAATTGTCTTTATTGATGTGAAAAATAAAATACAAATTCAAAACCAACTCAAAAAATTGAATTATTTTCTTGTTTGGTGGCAAATCAACAATTCAACCATTTAGGTCAAACGTGTCAATCCTTGATGTCATAGTTAAATAATAATAAAAAAAAAGATGAAAACACAGAAAAGTATAAAAGATACAAGAAATTATAAAAAAACATTTGAGAACATCTCTAATATTGTATATTAATCATATTAATTAAACAAAAATAAATGTGATGAATAAGAATAATTTTTATGGACATAAAAATATAAACAAATTGTAGAAAATTTTGAAAACACTTTATTTGCTATGATCATCATCATAAAAAATTGGTATTTGCAAAGCATATGCACACTTGCTAGTGGTTTTAATGCAGCTATTTGTATAAGCTTATTCTCTATTCCCCAACAATGCTTCCAAACCCCTTTAGAATTTTTGTGGTTTTTTTATTTTCTGAAATTAAAAAAATCAAATATGGTACTATTTAAATTCACCATGACCAATTCAGTTTCCCTGTTACTCCCCAATAATCATGGACATCTTTCAACACTTGTGCATCCCATAGGGTTAATCCATTGGACTTTTTATCTAATAGATGCTTCATATCGGCCACAAGATCCACCTATATAGCCGAAATAGGTGGATTCATATTGAGAATCTCCCTACTTAAAGAAAGGTTTTGCTAATTAAATCAGTTAGAGAGACTTCATAAATGGCAAATTTCATTTATTCATGCTTATATTAAAAACAATGTCCAATAATCAGCAAAAGATCCAAACAAATGACTAGAGTAGAGAAAAATGAAGCAAAGACAAACAACACCTAGGAATAGACCATACTAATGAGAAAATAAAGTAAACTCAGCACTGGGAACAAACTATTTGTGAGGACTCTATAAATGGCAAAAATGTTTAATAAATGCTAACATGGAAGATCATCTTCCTCCAACACCAGAAATAGACCATAGATGAACTTATTGACCTTGCAATTTCAGCCATTTAGAGGAATGTGTCTAAAGGAACCATCCATCACATAGAATGACCCTTTAGTTGGGCAATTGTGTTTACCCTAATTTGAATCACTTATATAGCCTGTCTTGTATAGTGGTCTTTGAGCTGATCAAGGTCTCATAACTTGAGAAAGAAAGCCCTAGGGGTTTTTTGTTTGATCATGTGACAAGGTATTTAAACTTAAAATTCTCCATGAATAAAGAAGAGAAAGAGGAATATCATGTGGAAGACTCATAGGTAACTTTTTTTTGAAACAAAATGGAGAAAGATTATTGGATCTTTACTTTACAAAAGAAAAAGTATAAAAATCACATTATATCTCAAAAGAATACTTGTCTTTGATAGATCTTCATTTCAATGGTAAAAAGAGCAAGTATAAAGAGAACTAAAGAGAAATAAATGGCAATAGACCAAAACTAGCTTTTTATTCAATTAACTAACTAGATCACATCCCATCACAAGTGCACTCACCTCTACAAATAAAATTGGCCCTTAATAACTAATAAACATGTTGAAAAGATATTTTATTACTTAATAAGAATCATTATTTAAGCAAATGCCATAATAAAAATCATCTTGTAACAAAGCCACTTGATTAAGGAGCAAGAAGTAGGGTTGAAAGTGTAAAACAATGATTCAAATACAGGTAAGGCTTAGAAGTAGAAAATACTTTTGTTTTTCTATTTTATTTCTATTGAATGGGGATGTCAAAATAAATAGCAAACTTGGTTGCCCCTTTCACTTCTTTTATAGTTTAGCATATCAATTTCCAAGAAAATAAAGGCTATATGGTATTTTACATACAAAATAGCAAAACAACATTTCTTAAGGAATTTTATACATACTTTAATTTATTAAATGCTTTAATTGGGTGATTATATACCATATAAATACATGGAAAATACATTCCAATATCTTATATAGCAAGGGAAAATTCCTCAAAACATTAATTGGTAAATATTAAAGAACATGTTATATGAATCATTTATTTAAAACTTCTTGTACACATAAATTTGAAACATGACAGACACATCTAATATAAAATAATTTAACATTTAAAAATGATTTTAATTGATATTTTAAAATATGTATAGCTGAATCATTATACTAGCATTATCAAAACTAATAGAAAGAACTTTATTTTCAATATACAAGTATGTAAAGTATTTAAAATACTTATAGTGGTTGCTAAACCGGTATGTGGCTATTCAACTCTTGTAAAACCTAAAATTATTTATTGTAAAAGCCATGATTCATCAATAAAATACCCCATAATACAAATATAACTAATATTATATTTGGAAATCCAAATATATATCAAATGTAAGTGTAATTTTAAAATTAAGATTTGACAAAGTAGAAATTAGATTATGTCTATATGAATACAAAATTTTTAAAGCATCTACTTAGCCTCTAATAGTATTTTTAGAAACTTTTTATTTAAATTGGGATTTATAGATTGTTGTAAAAATT